GAATTAACTTGCCCCAAATCACGGCCTGACTTTCTCCAAAGCCTATAGGTTCTATATGACGCCAGGCATTATATTTGGTAGTATAGGCCTGCAGAGTAGAGAGCCTGTGTCTCTACTGGGGGACTGGAAATTCTGGCAGGACTGAAATTCTGATAACAAGGACCTTGGTAAACACCCTACAGTCCTCTTCCCTACTTCCACTGAATGTGGTGAGAATGCATATTGTATTTGATTCCTAAGGCTGTTTATAAACAAAATACCACAGGCTGGGTGACTTAAAGCAACAGAAATTTATTTTTTCACAGGTGTGGAAGTTCAAAATCCAAAAGCAAGATATCGGCAGGACCATGCATTTTTCCTAGCTTCTGCTGTTTGCTGGCAATCCTTGGCATTCCTTGGTTTGCAGCTGTTTAAGTCCAATCTGTCTCCATCCTCTCGTGTTGTTCATCTCTCTGTGTGTTTGTCTCTTCTCCTCTTTTTATAAGGACACAGTCATACTAGGTTAAGGACCCACCCTACTTCAGTATGATCTCTTCTTACATCTGCAAAGACCCTGTTTCAAAATAAGGTCACATTCACAGGTACACACGTCAACCCACCATATCTATGATAATATCTATGATAATCAGCAGGTGTCACACAAAACCAGAATCCTCATGCCAGGCATACAAATCCAATCACTATGGTGATGATTCATTTCTAAAAGCAGGTAGAACCTAAGGGTCCAGATGGGAAGAGAAGCTTGGTGGGCACAGGGGAAGATCTGGCCACCGTCCTTGGCAGGTAAGGACTTTGATGTGGCATTAGAATAGTTCATAAATCTGGCTCAACCAGACTTTATTCATTAAGTCAATAGCTCTGTGGGCTTCCTGTGTGCCAAGAATTGGGTGGGGAAGTAAGGCAGGCAGGATCCATTCAAACATGGCTTCTGGTTTTTGGGGTTACTGATAACCAGAGGAACACTCTAATGAGGGCACAATTACAAACTAAGATTTGTGCTCTAAGAAAAACCTGATGTCACCAAGGAGACGCTCCTATGGCTGTATTTTCTCCTTTCTTTCCTTCCTTCTTCACTTCTCCTCCCTCTCTCTCGTCCTTCCTTTCTTCCTCCCTCCCTCCCTTTTATCATTATCCTTCTCTTGTGAGACCTGGAGGTGTTGCAACATCTTAGTGGAATAGAGGGGACTAGAGCACCCCTAGCAGTGTGGGCACAGTAACAGCCCCAAAGTACAGGACTAATGGGGTAGAGGCTGGGAGATGGAGGGATGGGGAGGTTCCTGTTGAGGGATAAGGGTGGGAGAAGGTCTTACCCAGGGTTTCCCCGTACTGCACAGTGAACGTGCCCTGGCAGACTCATGGCCAATGGACAACAGCTCCTAAAGCTTCTACCAATTTGAAACTGTGGATCTCCTCCCCTCCAAAGGCTTTATTGTTTCAACCTTACATAGTGTGTCCCCTGGGATGCCAAGAAAGCAGGCCAGGCCCTGGCCAGGGTAGGGTTAATGCCACAAGAAGCCCCGCTCTGATCTGGCAATAATGGCTGTGAAATCCTACTTAGCCTGGGTAGCTCTCAAATCTGTCTCCATCTCCTTCCCTAGTACCACGGTCCCATGGATGAAGGATAGTTGGAAGGCAGGCAGGCACAAAGGCCCCCGGCCCTAAGAGGGAACTCCTTGAAAGGATTACACCACCCTGGAAGGAGCCCTCCACCCTTTCCCATGTTTGGATGACAGGCGCAGGGTGGGTTAATCAGATGAAAACAGCCTGCGAACAAGCCCATAAAACCCCCTAGACTTAGAAACCCCGTTGGCAACCCTCTTGGGTCCCCTTCCTCCTTGGCAGCTTTGTGCGGTCTTTCTTTTTTTTCTTTTTATTTTATATTCATCTTTTTTTTTTTAAGATTTTATTTATTTATTTGACAGACAGAGATCACAAGTAGGCAGAGAGGCAGGCAGAGAGAGAGGCGGGGAAGCAGGCTCCCCGCTGAGCAGAACGCCGGACCAACCGAGGACGCAGGGCTCCATCCCAGGACCCTGGGATCATGACCTGAACCGAACGAAGACAGAGGCCCAACCCACTGAGCCACCCAGGCGCCCCAATGTGCTGTCTTTCAATAAACCTGCTCTACTGCCCACTACTCTGCCTGATCTACCTCTCCATTCTTGGAAGTGGCATGGCCAAGAACCACAGGCCCCAAAGGAGAAGAAATCCTGTAACACCATCTCTTACCTCCTTGTGTCCTTGGGGATCCAGTCAGGCTCCTTCCAATCCACCGCCCACCTACACAAGTGTCAGAGGGATACTTCTCAAATGCCAATCAAACTGGGGCACTCCATGGCTCCCACCAGCCTCCCACTTACTTCAGGGAGGCTCTCAGTGACCTGGCTCCGACTTGGTACTCCAACCCCACCTGCCTCTTGCCAGGTATCCTTCAGACACTGTGGCTGCCGCAACACCAGACACAGTATCCCTTCTCTATGCTCTGCTTGGGACTGCCTGTCCAGTCCTGTTCTGCTGGCTACCTCCTTCTGATACTCAGGGAACCACCTCCATCAGCATCCCTGCTTCCCAGCCCCACCGTGTGCCTAGACTAGGATCTGGCACAACAACAATGAAGTCCCTTAAGGACCTGCTGAAGATCCACCTCCCATCTAACCCGCGCTCCAGTCTTGGATTATATATACACGTATATGCTCCCAAATTGATGGCGTGACCTGACAATTTCGTGGATGTGAGTCTTCACTGCCACCCCTAGCCTGCAAGTGCCCCCAGGCAGGGCCCAGAAAGCTCCTGGATAGAGGTCACTATTGGAAAGATGGGGTCTCACAGAGCAGCTTCCCCTCCCTCCTGCTCTGCCCTGCAGTCAGGGAGCCATCCCTGAGGTGCTTCTGTAGCCAACTACCCCACCCCCCACCCTCACTGCCTTATTCCAGCACTTCTCAGGTTCCCACCTCAGTCCTGGGGGTGGGGGTGTGTAGGGATATGGGTCCTTCCTTTGGAGCCTACTCCTGGATCAGCAGGGCCGGAGGATCTGTAAGGCAGGGATAGGGTGCCCATGGGTGTTGGCACCATGAGCACCTATCAAAAGCCTGGGAACGGAACCCGCCGTGGTGGAGTGGGGGGTGCAGAAAGGAAAGTGTTTCATAACCTGCCTTCTGGCATGGGAGGCAGGAGCTCAGCCCACCATCAGGGCAGGTTAATGCTCTGAAGGTAGGGAAGCAAGGCCCTCTCCTCCCCATACTGCAGGATGAATTTCTAGGCAGGAAAGGGACTTAATCTGATCCCCACCGTCAAGAGAAGAAAGCCTCTGCAGCCTTCCCTCCCTGACAAGCCTCTGCTTGCATGGTCCTGTGACCGGGCACTCAGGATTTCAGATTCTGGTTTTGGAAAGGTGGCCCTTTTCTAGCACCAAGACCAGTCTTCTATAAGCATCTATCATGCAGGACCTCTTCCAAGAGTTTTATCATTTTTTTCAGATGCACACGCCCAGGACCAGCCCAGGGAACCTTAGCTGTCAGGATAGTGCATTTTTTCCAACCTTCTTGGACCACCAATGAGAGTCGAACAAGCGCACATAAACCCCCTTGCCCTTCGCAGGGATTCAAGAACAAGAAATTAGGGAAAGCAAACCATGCTGGAGTCTGGATGACAGGGCTCACTAATCCAAAGCTCAAGGGGAGAACTCCCTAAAGAGCCCCTCTTGTCAGCGGCCGAAACTCACCTCTTGTCGCTGGATTTATTTCAGAGTTCTGCCAGCAAAGTGACTTACATCCTCCCCCATCTCCTTTCCAGAGGTGCCGTTGAGTTGCATGTGGTAGGGTGTGTTTCTGACATCCTGGGATTAGATGCCACCCCCCACCCTTACCAACTAGAGTCCTTCCAGCACACAACACTCCTCCCCCACCCCCAGCCCCGGCTGACTTCGGCTTGGATGGAGAGGCTTCTGAGGCTGTTATCTCTTAACAGACAGCTGTGCAGGGCTGGAGGCAGCAGCTTATCAGGGAGCCTGCAGTGATTCACAGCCCAAGTTCCAGCTTCTCTGCTGAATAGTAATTTCCAGCAGTGGATTTGTGCTCTGTCTCTCTCCTCCCCCTCTCCCAAGGGTGTGTTGTCCTTTCTGAGAGAGAGAGCAGTGAAGGGGAGATCCTACGGATGGTGATGAGAGGTTTTGTGCCAGCTTTCTGGATATGGCTGTCAATTGGCAGGAGGCTGCAGGTTTAGGGAGCCCAGTGGGGTGTGCCTCCCTTGGCAGTGACACCCCCCCCCCCGCCAGGAGAGTTCACTGGTGCTTGCCTTTCTTTCTTCCTTCCCAGAAAGGCAATGTGCTCCTCCTTTTCCCTCAGTGGTAATGCACCAGGGGACAAAGGCCCCCCTTCTGGCCCCAAGCCCCTGAGACTAGCGCCAGACAGGGAAGGCTGGGAGAGGGAGAAGCCAGGGAACGGGCAGTGTGCCTCTCGTTCCAGTTTGAAGCTGTCCAGTCTCTGTGTCCAACTGTGAAGACTCCAAAACCCAAAGTCTCCAGGCTGGAGGGGACTGAGACATAGCGGGGCAGGCCAAAGCAGTTTCCATATAGGTTAAGTGCTAAAGAAAAAACCTAGGGCCAGAGCCATTTTTGTGTTTGTTTTATTAGAAGCACGACTTCAGCTCTGAGACTCAGGGGAGAAGGCAAAGAGTTTTGTCCTGGGTCTCTCCTTCTGGGCCAGTGGGAAAGGGGGGGTTTTAAAAGGGCTAGAGCCCATAGAGGTGGCCCTGCACCTCGTCTCAGGATGCTCCTTGATAGCAGGGTAAGGTAGCAGTCTCCCCAGGTGAGGGGCAGAACAGACCCCCATCAATTCAGACTCCCTTGCCTTCAAGCAGTCCTTTTCTCATCCCCTGCCCTCAACCAGTCAATGGTGGAGGTGATTCCAAGAGCTCTCCTTAGGTTACACCCGGGGCGGGGGGGGGGGGGGGTTCATGACTACTGCATGCCTTTAACCCTTGGGGGTCCTGAGCAAGGCTCAGGATTCCCATGGTCCACCATTCCCTCCCTGAAGAAGGTTCCAGGGTGGCTCAGAAAAGCTGAAGGTGGAGTTCTGCGTCTTCAGACAACACAAGTGGTGGAACGAAGCTTCCCTGGGGTCCCTCTCGTTGCCTTGGGGTCCATGCTGACCGTCTGAGGAGCTATGTCCAGAGCACCGAGGCGTGAAAGGTTGGAGATGCGTCTCAAGGTCGAGGCCCTGGGGGTGAGATCCAGCGCGTCTACGTGGACCAGACCCACAAGCTCTCAGGCCGTCTGGTCCTCTTCCGCAGCGCTTGGCTCAGGCTGCAACCGCTTCGAAGAGCCTTCTCCAGCCGCAGGTTCCCCTAGGCTCCTCTTGGACGTTGGTGTAGCTGGCTGGGACGAGGGTCCAGGATGGGAGCTCGGGGGCTGGTAGCCGGGTTGGCACGGATCCAGTGCATCCTTGGAAAGTAGGATGGCGAGGCTGGGCACATTCTTAAGTACACTGAGACTGGCAACCGGCTCGCCAGGCTTCTGACCGGGAGTGGGCCCCGGCGGGAGGCTCTGCCACACCTCGCGCACGCTCCGGTAGCGCAGCCGCGTGACCTGATGTAGGCCCGCCAGGCGGCGCTTGAGGATCTCAGCGCACGTGACGGTCTTGGTGGTGGCCCGACCGCAGCCGCTGAAGACGATGGCGCGCGTGGCTGGCTGCGCCATGCTGGCAGTGGCGAAAGCCAGCAGGTTCCGGATCTTGCTGCCCTCTTTGACCCGCATGTGCACAGCACCAGGCGCCAGGTCCGCGAAGGGGCTGGAGCCCGGGCCGCCCCCCTCAGCCCCACCCCCTACCGGCGCCTCCTCCGAGCGCACCTTACGGAAGTTCTCCATGCGCCGTCGTTGCCCGGACCGCGGGGACGCTGGCTTCGCCATGGGGCCGCCTCAGCCCTGGGGCTGCATGGCCGCCGGTCGCGCCGGCAAGGGCCGGCAGGGGTAAGGGTACGGGAGCGGCGTGGACGCTGGCGGGCGGGCTGGGACGGCGCGATCTTCGTCTCCGACTTCACTCCAGCGGCCGCTGCTCTACGCTGCGCTCTCGGCGCCGGGTGCTCCGCGCCTTTAGCGGAGGCCCAGCCTGGGAGCCTGGGAGCCCCCGCCCCTACCGTCAGGCTCCGCCCCTAACTCGGCTTGGCCCGCCCCCGTCCTAGCCTCTGCTGTCTCCGGGATCCAGTCCCGCCCGAGTCTAGCCACCGGGGCCAGGGTGCCTCGCGCTCCGAGAGGTGTAGTGGCAGCCAGGGGGTGACCTGCCGGGCGATGTTCCCCTACAGTCGCCATCTGCCCTCCCTGAGCCAACCATCATAAATGGGCGACCTAAATAAAAACTGTTTGCGGTACAAAAGCTGCTTCAAGCCGGGTCCCCGAGCCTTGCACGTTGGCCGCCTCTGTCACCTCTCAAGGAGGGTTTTCCGAGAGGCCTGCTGGCGCCTCTTTCCCCCACTCCTCAGGGAACACTCCCACTCCGTCCCTCCCGCGCCGGAGCCGCTCTTGTCGCCTCAAGGACAGCCTGTGCACGGTCAGCAGAGTGCGGAGGCGCTGGCTGCAGCTGCGCCCCGCGCTGCCCTCGGACGACTACGTCGCGGCGTGGTCTTCGCAGGGCGGCGGGAGACTGAGGTCTCAGCTCGCTGCGCCTGACCGGAGGCTCCGGGACCCCCGTACGCCTGGGCTGAGGGGTGAGGCGCTGGGCCAGGCTGTCCCTGAGGCGAAAAGGAAGAGAACAAGGAGAGCCCTTCTCAAGGGGAGTTAAGCTCCCCGCACCCATGGAGCGTCCGCTATGAGAGCTGCATGCTTTAGGGTAAGCCAGGCACAGTTCCCTGGTAATGTGGATCCCCTTCTTCCCAGGTGGAACTCGTCAGCCAGCCTTGGCCCCCTGAGACTCAGTGGGGTCCTTTTTCAAAAAGGAGGCTGGATGAAGGCAGGTGTTGGGAGAAGAGAGGAAGGTGGAGAAGTTGAAGCCTCAGGGGCATTAGGAAGCTACCGGGAACACCACAGGGCTGGGAGAGTAACCCCGACATCCTGCCAGGAGAGGTGGACAGTGAGGGTGAGGCTGGGGGCTGAAGGGATGATGATAGGAGGGAAGTTAGAAGGAGCTGGACCCCCGCCCCCAGAATTGCTCTAGGACTTCGCCCCTCACCCTTCCACGCCCCTGGTGCAAGCGAGGGAGTGGTGCAGACCTGATCCAGGTGGGGTAGCTTAGCACCGCGGTGGCGGAGAGGCGCAGGGAGAGCTGCAGCGGGCGGGAAACCTCAAAAGTGCGAGCGGCCTGACAGTGCCTGTGGGGAGCTGAGTCCCAGCCCCGTAACGGGGCTGCCGGGTGGCCTTCTGCCTTCTCAAGCTGTTGTCGCCTCCTCGGCCTCTTGTTTGTCCTAGCTCTCGGCCTCTGCTGTTCAGAACCCAGGCTGACCCCATTACCGCCCTTTGGGGGAATGGCTGGAGCTGGTGGACTTTGCGCCCCAACGTCCGAGTGACCGACTCCGTCCGGGATATCCTGGTCGCACGCTAGGCTCAGGGGCCCTCGGGGTCCCGCTTGGAGCCTGGACTTCGGCTCAGCCCGGCTCCCGCGGGCCCCACTAGGATCCGCCACAGTCGCGGAGGCACAGCAGCCTTGAGAACACAAAGACTGCAGCGCTTGGCGGCGGGCGCAGGGAACCTCACATTCCGTAAGACCGAGGTAGCTGTGGGACTTAAAGGGCAGCAGTTTCTGCTAGGCCTGGGGAAAAGTCCTGGAACCGGTGGGATCTACGGTAGAAGGGGTTGGTTAGGGAAGAAGCGAGCTCTCCATCCGCAGGGGTATGCAAGCCCAGGCCGAATCTGCAGTTTGGTGGACCGGGCCTGGGAGCTCCCGGTTTGCGTCGGGTTAGCACGCGGCTGTTCTGCGGCCGCCGGGGATGGCCCTCGAAAGCTCCCCCTCCCCCTTCTCCCACCTCCAGCTGTAGAACACACGGATTCACTTCGCTCCCCCGGGAAGCGAGAGCGCGGAAAAGGCCCGCTTTCCCTCCGGGTCCCTTCCCCTTCCCCGCTCCCTCTGCAGCACTTAAAATGTAAATGTACACCGTGATTAGCCGCCGGGTCGCTAATTACCGCTGAAGCCATTCATTACCCTGTCAGCGCGCGTCCTAGCCTGCCGGCTGTGCGCTCCAGCTGGGCGGTGGGGGGTGGGGGGGTGGGAAGGTTCAAGGAGTGGGGGAACTGTGAGTAAGGGTGAGGAGATTGGCCGGGAGGAAGCGGGGGCGGAAGAGGGGCCGTGGGGATGAAAAAATGGGTGGGCGGTGATGTACCGGGGCGAGGCAGGAAGAGGGGAGAAATGCGCTGGCGGCTAGGATTGGGGACAGAGAAGTGGAGAGGATACGCGCGGGGGAGGGCTGGGGAGGGGAGAGGAGGGGCGAGGTTAGAGAGCAAACAGGGCCTGGGAGCCGGACGAAGGGAGAATACGCGGGGAGGCGGCCAGGAACCCCGGAGAAGGGGCGAACACGGTTGGGAGGGGAGTAGAGGGCTCAACTCGGAAGGTGGGCAAGTAAATTTGCGTATGGGTGGCGCAGACCCCGCGACGGTTGGAAACATGGAAAGACAGTCAAGGCTGTTAAAGAGCTGGGTAGGGCCGGGAGTATTTTTTTTTTTTTAAGGGGGGGGGGGTGGGGGGGGGGGGGGGGATCTATTTCCATATGTGTGCGTTTGTAGATGTAAATGTATTTTTAAAATATCTTTAAGAAAAGAGCACACTGCATCTGTTACCTCGGAGGCAGCATTCAGTTTTTGTGAGCCTCTTGAAGAAAAGAGCTACTGAATACAGAATTTAGCACAGAACCCTGGAACAGCCTGTGTACGGGAGGTACTGACCTTGGAGCCCGAGCTTCATTACCTCCTTTTTGCCTCTATGTGACCTTGGGCAATTTACTTAATTTCTGTGCCTTGCTTTTCTCAGCTGTGAAACGGGGCTGACATAGGAACCGGTCTCCTAAACGGGCTGTGAGACACATCGCAGTCTTAGAAACTTGGCTGGTAGATTCTCGGGAAATGTTGGCTAGTATTTTTCACATATGATTGGAGATTTAAATAAATTTTAAAAAAATTTTAAAGGGAGGTGAGGGGAAAAGAAAGCTGGTGAAAGGAAAGGAAAATGGGCAAAGCCTTGGCAAGAGCAGTTTTCCTGATATGTTAGGGACTACTTAGTGGCAGCTTGAAATCCTTTCACCCTCAGAGGAGGTGGTAGGGTGGCTAGACTGGAGCCCGGGCTTACCCCCTGCAGCGACAGCTCCCTGCTCTGCAAGAGGACCTTTCCTGCAGCAGTGCACCCTGCCTCTGTGGACAAGTCTCTTCTCACCCCAAAACTGGGAGAAATCCCCAGGCACAGAGCAGGTCTCCTCCTCCTCTGTCTCCAATGGCAGGAAGAGCAAACAGGAGGACATGATCCTGAAGAAGCTGCTCCTAGTCCTAGCCCCTCTGGGCAAGGACTTGGGAGCATGCAAAGGAGTTAGGAATTAGAAATTGAGAAGGGGGCCCAAGGGAGCTCACTACAAAATGCCCAGCATTGGGTCAGGTACTTTTTTTTTTTAAGTTTTTTTTTTTTTTTTTAATTTTTAAAGATTTAATTTTAAAGATTTATTATTATTATTTGACAGATCACAAGTAGGCGGAGCGGCAGGCAGAGAGAGAGGGGAAAGCAGGCTCCCCACTGAGCAGAGAGCCTCATGTGGGGCTTGATCCCAGGATCCTGGGATGATGACCTGAGCTGAAGGCAGAGGCTTTAACCCACTGAGCCACCCAGGCGTTCCTGGGTCAGATACTCTTTTTTTTTTTTTTTTTTTGGGTCAGGTACTCTTAACAGATATATTCCCCAATGCAATTTTCATAATCTTCCTTTTCATCGTTTGGAAACTGTGGCACAGAGAGGTTAAGTAACTTGCCCAGTCATCACAGCTAGTAACTTGCCCAGTCATCACAGCTAGAAAGCAGTGACCACACGTGTTTGAATGCAGGTGCTCTGACTCACTTTACTACCTCACCTGAGTGATTATAAGAGAAAAGGAAACTCAAATGATCTGAGCTGCCTATTAAAGGTATGAGTTGGAGCACCTGGGTGGCTCATTGGGTTGAGCCTCTGCCTTCGGCTCAAGTCATGATCTCAGGGTCCTGGGATCGAGCCCCACATCGGACTCTTTGCTCAGCCGGGAGCCTGCTTCCCCTCTGCCCCTGCCTGCCTCTCTGCCTACTTGTGATCTCTGTCTGTCAAATAAATAAATAAAATCTTAAAAAAAAAATAAAGCTCTGAGTTGACTTTGGGGAGAGCAGATGTTTCTACAATGGGGAAGATATATTGCTTATCTATTGCTGCATAAAAAATTATCCCTAGGGGCACCTGGATGGCTCAGTGGGTTGGGCCTCTGCCTTCAGCTCAGGTCATGATCCCAGGGTTCTGGGATGGAGCCCCACATCAGGCTCTCTGCTCAGGGGGGAGCCTGCTTCCTCCTCTCTCTCTGCCTGCCTCTCTGCCTACTTGTGGTCTCTGTCAAATAAATAAATAAAATCTTTAAAAAAAATAAGAAAAAATTATCCCCAAAACTCAGCAGACTGAAACAAAAACAAAACTCAGCAGATTGGAACAAAAAACAAAAACAAATCTCAGCAGGTTTCTGAGGGCTACAGACCCAAGAGCAGCTTCGAAGGGTGGTTCTAGGTCAGGGTCTTTCCTGAGGGTGTAGGCAAGATGTTGGCTGGATCTGGCAGATCTGCTCCCCTGCTTACTCGCATGTTGGTCTCACATGTTGGTTTGAGGCCTCAGTTCCTTATCACACTGGATCTTTCCATAGATGTGTTCATAACCGTGGACTTCCCCAGAGCAAGTGATGAGAAAGAGAGAGACCAAAAAAACGAAAACAAAAACAAAAAAATGAGCAGGAAGCCACAGTACATTTTGTAGCCCAGGTTCTTCTGAAGAGGAGGTTCTACTTCATGAAGGGAGCAGTGTCAAAAAATCTGTAGACATTTCAAAGCCACAGCAGAAGGGGAGTATTTGGGAGGCAAACTTAGGAGGAGAGACAATCGGGAATCAACATATTGAAGCAAATATGTGGAAAGACTTTGAATCAGGAAAGCCAAATGTATTTCCTGGTGTATGGAAAGCTCTTAATTTTTTTTTAAAGATTATTTATTTATTTGAGAGAGAGTGCATGCTAGGGTGTGAGGTTGGGGGAGAGGGGAGGGGCAGAGAGGGAGAATCCCAAGGCAACTCTGCTCTGAGCACAGGGCCCAAAGCAGGGCTCTATTTCAAGACCCTAAGATCATGACCTGAGCTGAAACCCGGAGTCAGACGCTTAACCCACTGAGCTACCCAGGAGCACCAATAAATGTTTGCTAAACAGTTGCATGAGTGACAACTTTTCTTTTTTAAAGCATTGGTGTTTACTGTTTTTCTTTTTTAAAAGATTTTATTTATTTATATGACAGAGAGAGACACAGTGAGAGAGGGAACACAAGCATCAGGAGAAGGAGAGGGAGAAGCAGGCTTCCCACTGAGCAGGGAGCCCGATGCGTGGCTCTATCCCAGGACCCCAGGATCATGACCTCAGCCGAAGGCAGATGCTTAACCATATGAGCCACCCAGGAGCCCCAAGTGTGACAACTTTTCTAAGATTGTTTTCAAGTCCTTGGTCATTGGGCATAAGCTCACTCACCACTTTACAGGGCTCTCTCTCTCTCTCTTTTTTTTTTTAATATTTTATTTATTTATTTGTTGACACAGAGAGAGAGAGAGAGAGAGATCACAAGTAGGCAGAGAGGCAGGCAGAGAGAGAGAGAGGGGGAAGGCTCCCCGCTGAGCAGAGAGCACGATTCGGGGCTCAATCCCAGGACCCTGAGATCACGACCTGAGTCGAAGGCAGAGGCTTAACTCTCCGAGCCACCCAGGTGCCCCTACAGGGCTTTCTTGAAGGCTGAGTGGGACTATAGCTATCAGAGCTCCTTGTAAATTTAACACTGCTAGGCAATGAAGCCTGGAGGGGGAACTTGGCCTGGGAGAGACCAAGAGCTCAGCCATGGAGAAGTCCCTGTCCAGGCCTGATAACTTCTCACAGACTGAGTCCCCAGACCCTAGGGAAATGCTCTGATTCTAGCTCCTCAGCTCTATCCCCACCCCAGCCCATTCTCCTCACCATGTCTCACCTCCAGTTATTGCTTTTGCCCATGGGCCAGCCAGGACAGGACCCATGAGTCCTAACACCTGCCAAGCCTCTGCCTTCAGGCTGCTTCGTTCTCCTTTGCTGGCTCTGGCCTCAGAGATGGAAAATAGGAGTTTGCGGTATAGACCCAGTGAGCCCAGCAACCTTGCCTGAGATTCGATTGCTTTCCTAGCATCAGGCCAAGTCACCTGAGTCCCAAGAGGAAGTAAAGGAAAGACAAGTGTAGTAAAAAGCTACTCACCTGGGCACAGTTAGAGTTCCCAGGAGTGTGCTGGGCCCCAAAACACTTCCCAAGAGCCTGTTGTGATGCCTGAAATTCCCCATGATTGCTTCCACCTTTGAATCAGCTTTTCCCTGAGAAGATAAGGTTATACTTCTAAATCTAATGGTGGAGATTGACCTAAAACCAAAGAAACAGGATGTTTGAGAACCTTGGTAGGGGAGGGGGGGAGGAAAGTATAGAGCTGATAAGGTGAGGGAATATTTACCAATTACA